CAATTAACTCCAATGTGCTAATGGACCAGAACTTAGAAAAGTGAGAGACTCCGTGACTGGTTGTCCATTTTGTGACCATTTTGGGTTCACCTGGGGTGTAGCCCTGGCTGGGCTCTTATGCTGCCCCAGGTGTATCTATTGAGGCCTTTTAATAAATACCTGCTTTATTCTTTAACTCCGTCTAGCCTCTGTTCTAGGTCAGCCTTCACAAGGGTTCAGTTCTGATGACAGAGAAGGGACAGAAGGCATCTGGAAAACCCCCTTGCCCTGAGCTAGAGGAACATCCAGCTCCTGCCCCACCACTCTTGCATCAGAACTATTTAGCAAATTGTTAATCTATATGATGAAAATAAATATCTGGTAAATGTAAAATATCTTCTTTCAAAACATAGTTTGCTGCATTTACTTGAATGTATTCTGTCCTATAAAATCTGATTGATGTTGTTGCAGAACCCCATAACAATTTTGGCATTTTCAGCTCACCCAGCACAAATACATGAAGGTACGATTTCTTTGACTGAAAAATTCCAAGAAATAGTAACTCCTGGACTCTAATGGGTGGTGGTGCCAGCTGGCAGGCAGGCAGGGGTGGTGAGGATGGGGCTGAGTGCCTACAGCAACTGTCTGTGAAGCGGTATGGTTGTGTTAGCAGAGTCCAGTGTTTTTTTTCCTGTGGGAGCAGAAAGGTGCAGATGGTTGCCATCCCAGAGCACCTCCAGGTTAATGCATATGCACACTGTGTTCCTATACAACTTCAGTTTTACTGAAGTTGGGAATGCTTTCCTGGAAGGTGCTTTTTTGAAGGAGTGCAAGTCAATTTGTCAGTGACTGCTTTCAGTAGTCTCTTTTATTTTGCTTCCCCTAGCCTTGTCTGATGTGTGTACTTAGTTATTGTGAGATGACAGGAGTGTATAGCAATGATGATAGAAGAGTGCATTTGAGCAGCCAACAGCAGTGAATACTGGAAAGTCACTGGAAACCTTTGTTGGTTTGATGGAATAAATCCACAGTAACCAAGGGAAGGATCTAGCATTATTTGTGAAACTTGAGTCCATTCTGAACATGGCCTTTGATTGTCAACTGAAATGCAAAGGCTTTAATTAAGGGCAGGCAGAAAAGATTCAGTAATGATAATGGATAAATCTTCTCTACTTTGACAGTGTGTGAGAGTGTGGCTCAGAGAGCTGCAAGTGACTGAAAGAAATGTTCCTTTTAATCACGCAAAACTGCCTTCTACTAAAGGAAAGTTCATTAAAGCTGAATTTGACATCCATGCCTAGAGAAATTTAACAGATGTGTCTGTGACAAATAGATTACTCATTGCATATATTGTTCTGTATGTGATTTAAAGAAAAGTAAGCATATCTTGAGTGTCCGCTGTTGTCCACTGGTGTTGTTCAACAAGCTGTGGTGTGTAGCGGCGAGGTGAGGTGATCAGTGCTGCTGCCTTCCCAACAAGCGTCCCCAGAGGGAAGATGTTTGGGCAGGCACACAACAATCACACACTCAGGCACTCAAGCACACCACAGCTAGCAGGCAGGTGAGATACAGGAGGATCTTCTGTATGGGGTTCCAGCCAGGGGTTATTAGGGTCTGGCACTGAAGGAGTCCAGGGACAGAAGACAACAGATGTTGGAGGGTCCACGGTATAAATATGTGAAGGAGTGGGTGGAGCAAAGCATCAGGGCAAATCAGCTGAGGGCACAGGGGGCAGTACAAAGGGCAGGAGCCAATAGGCAGTGCCAGGGTGGACAGGCAGGGTTACATTAGCCAGCGGGGAAACAGGGAGTAGGGAATGTTCTAGAACAAGACCATGTAGGGTGAAAGGGGTAGGGATGGCCAAAGGGCCAATGGGGAATACAGGACTGGGGTAAATTGGCATAGTGCTGCAGAGCATCATAGGGGAAGCTTTCTGTCTCCCCCTAGCCTTTGGGGGATACCCAGAGCCAATGGTGCATGCCTCCAGGGCATTGCCACTGCCCTTTTCCCAATAGGCTCACAGGCGTCCACAGTGGTATAAAAAGGTAACTGTATTAGTCTACAGACAAAGTCACGGGAATGGATAAATGTCACAAACCTTTTTGTGTTTAGCCTAAATCACAAGCTGTCTTTCTTGCATGCCTTTGTGATCTCTTCTTGTCTGGGGCGATAAAACAGTAGTGTGTGCTATTCCAGGGAAGCATAGTCTTTACCCCAGTTGTAAATGAACTCCCCACTCAAGAGGTTTGCATTTTGCACAGCCTAGAGCAAAGTATTAGAAAACTGAAATTCTAACGGAGTAGTGGATATTTGGGATTAAAATCTGACTTTCTGTTTGCATTTATATTTTGTAGTTATTCTAGATGGTGCCAGTAGGGAAAAGTTAATTTATGACAAGGTTTTTAAAAATGTGGCAGTTTGTTTAATCAGGAAATGCACTGGGAGGATATCTGACCTTTCAAATCCTTTGTATTTATCTCCATTTTTTCTCTTCTATTTTGTGGATTGGGACTAGAACTGAATTGTTTCTTATGCTTTATAGGTTTTTATGAGCTGACATTATGTTTATATTGAGGCCTGTGTGAACATCCCATAATGATACCCCAATAATTGCAGCATTCAGAGAGTTTGTTCAGGAACTCAACCAAATGACAATCTGAAAGGGATCAGACTGTAGTGCCCATCTATATATTTACATACACGTATGTGGCTTCTCTTTTAATAAATATCAAATAGTAAAACTGTTTCTAAAATTAAACTTGGATCAAGATATTAGATTTCATTTCAAACAAAATATGTTCTGGTGAGAAGAGAGTCTAATGTCAGTCCTACCAAAGACAGAGTTACATTTGGCTATCCAGCTGCTGGTTATAAAGGGGTTAAAACCAAATGAAAACAAATAAACATGGCTGAACCAAAAAATACTGCAAAATGCAACAGGAATGGTTTCTGTATTTTAAATCCATTTGAAATTCAGGAATATGCTTTTATTTTATGGAAGGCTCTAGATTAGTCAGGTGTTGACATCCTGTTCCATGTCTGTGTTGGGTCAGAAAAGCTGAAATATATTCTCCTGAACTGATATTTTATCCAGCAAAAAAAGGAATTAATATTCTATGATTCTAAATGAATGTTGAATTTCCTTGATTTCAGTATGCCTAAAAGACACTTTAATTGTGAAGCACAACTTAGTATCATACAAAAACATGTACATTTTTTAAAAATGTTTGCTGAACTGCTGCTGGATTACAAATACATAAGTAAATCATGAAAGAAGAATGTTAATTCCTACATTATTACTTTATTTTTCTTGAATAAATAGCCATAATAGTAATTAGAAAATATAAACACCACACTTCTTGTTGGACTGGATGTCACTTCTTTGAGGCTGGCACATAGAACAGCTTTTTAGTATCTTAAAATGACACAGCATTTTTGGTCTGGTGTTGTTACTCCATCTTTCTTTTAAGAAACAGATCGCTCTAAGTTATTTCCTCAGCTTCAAAAGGGAAAGATGGATATCACCAACAAGAAAATGTCAGTAATTTCATTTTAATTCATGGCTTGTAGCATTTAAAGGTTAATTTTAGATACAAATATAGTTATTGAACATGCTATACTAGTTTTCCATAGATCGCCAAAGGCTTTGGAGTTGCTAATGTATTAGTGTGGAAAATCTAAATGTAAAATTGCATCCAGATGAGGACTCCCACAGATTTCTAAAGTATGCTGTCCTTTACTAAATTGTAGCATTTTTTACTATCTTCAGGCTTTTGTGGAGAAAAACAATGTTCTCACTGTAGGGAATCAAGGGATAAGAGCTGACTGAGAAAAGCTGTGGTTCTGTTTTGTCAAGTCTTTGTGGTAGACTTTATATCCGTGCTTTATCACAATATATATTTAGAATAACAGACAAATTATCTTTGCTTTAAAGGAGTATTTTTTTTTGCTTACTAAGTTGCAGCTAGAATAGAAGAATTAAGGGCCATGTTTGAGAGCATGGAAAAAAATATCTTTTGCAGAGAAATTTACAGAATGAGTTTGAGTTTTACTTGGTAATCAAGCCAAAAGTTTGTTCTTGGGGAATGAATATTTGTTATTTAGGCTAGGTTATCAAACAGATGTGCATGCTCAGTGTATTCTCCCTTGTGCATTGCTTTTAACAGCAAGTTATTCCAAAGGGCTGGTTTTGGCCCAGGCAGGCCATCAGGGATGTCACAGAGGTCTTCTTATACATTTTTCTATCTAATTTTTGCTGTTTAATCAGTTGTCTGTTGTCAACCACCACTCGACAGTAAAATTCTAAAGATACTGAAGACGCACTCACACACCAATCTGTGCTATCCTTTGGGAAATACAGAAAAGGAAGTCATTATCCCATACTTGCTCTTGTGGAATTAAAGCAGTTGAGTACAGTGGCAGCTCCACCTTGCAGAAAATATGGGGACAACAGGAGGTCCCTGGTAGGGGAGAATATAGAGGTGTTCCTTCTCTGAAAGGAAACATCTCTCACCTCAGAGATGCTTAGCAAGTGTCTGAAGGAGGCAGGGTCATACACTGAGACTGGGGATCTCTGCTGCAGACCAGCTTGCAAAGGCAGGCACTTACTTGGAGAAAATGCTTTTAAATGTACTATGCTCTTTCACTTGAGGCTGAAAATTTTGTTTCTGGGTAACACCTCTAGATGAAGTATTCTGTCACTCAAGTTACAGCAAAAAAAAAAATCTCTTTTTAGGAGAGGAACAACTGAACATAGCTTTTCTCCCTTTAGAGACTCATGAAAGTTCAGAATAATAAAAGGGCAGTGGTAAGAGACTTTCTTTACAGGAACCAGCAAATATTATGCTTAAATTACTGGTTATTATAAGTTATATATCCATATATAGCTCTATTTAAATTTATCTCCAATATGTTAAAAATATGAGGAAAGAAAGGCACGAGCATTTCTTTCATTCTAATTGGAAAGCAGCAACAAAAACTGTAATGATTTCTTGCCTTTTCCCCCCCTCGCCTTCTCTCAGGTCCGCACCAGTGTCCTATCTGATCACAAGGAACCAAGAGCAGATGTTGGGGTAAGTGATTATTTTCAGTAACTGATTTTTTTTTTTTACATCTCGTCAGCAGGCACAAACACTCAGTGCTCAACAGAACTTGACAAGCTTTTTTAATAGCAAAAGTTTTTGGTTAAATAAATAAAATAATCAAGGCAGGAGTGGCAGTCTCATGGATTGATGTAATCCCATTCACATCTCTGTGAAAATCTTTTTTAACTGAAGCTATCCTGAGACAAGCACAACCATGTAAACTCTTTTCTAATGTCATACAAGCAATCTGGATGAGATTGAGAGTCTGGAATGGCATTGCCTCAGGAAGCCTGGGCTGTCACCTTCTAGTCTTCATGTAAAAGGCATCAAATATTCTGCAGCAGGAGTTGTCTTTGGTTTGTGTGTTGTCAGAAATTAAACTGGCAACATGCAGAGGACTTATTTTTACATGTAGATCTACAGAGCATTTGACAAAGGTATTGGAAAGTAATTTTCTGAGAGGGCTTAAACCTCCCAGATAATATTGACACCTGGTGGAGGTGGGAAGGGTTGGTCCTGCTAGAGCTGAATAAAAGAACAAAGACCACCTGGTGTAGGTATCAGATCTGTCTGCAAATAGGTAAAATACCTGGGGGCTTAAATTTTTTAGCCTAAGGTGTTGACTTTTCTGCCTTACTAGGGCTTCCTTGGCATAGTTTTCAAGACTTCAGCTAGCATTTGAAAAATCTGTAGCTTGGCAGCAAGTTCAATCTTAGTGAAATAATCAATGTGTTTTAACTTTTAATATAGATATTATAGAGACTTTTCTCTTTGGCTAGCTGAGAGTATTCATCAAACTACTCAAGGCACATATCTTAATATTTATTGTTGTATCTAGAACACTAGCAAAATTCAAAAGGAACATTACTCTACAATTAGCATTACAGCAGTAATTTTGTTTAAAGCCTACTTTTCAAGCCTTTCCAGTATCTAAATCAGTATGGAAAAAGTATTCTCCAGTTTGATATTGGACCCCTTGAACATTAGCATAACTCTCTTAATTTGGGTCATGAGATCATTTAGAATTTTATTTGATTTTGCACATAGCTCTGTGTTGTCAAGCAAAGAATTAATTTTTTTTCTAAATAAGCATAAAATTGTGGAACAGAGAACTAAGTAGAATGTTTTAAGCCAATAAAATCATTCACCTTTAATTTCATGACACTGGAGAAGTAGATTTGATGCTCAGATATGTTTAGTGGGTACAGTGACCAAAGCTCCTTGACTTATGAGTGCAATGTAGTTGTCTCTTGGCCCTGGTCACATGAGGATTCTGACTTATGATTCTTAAATATATTTATGGTTCTATTTTGCTGCAGAAAGAAGCCCCAAGTGACCAAACCTCGTATAAGTTTCATTCCAAATGCCCCTCTTTCCCTTTCCTAATGGTCAGGTTTCAAATACAAGCACTCAAATGTCATGAAATGTCAGAATAAAGGCTGCCATAGAGACATACTGGTGTGGAATGCATTCTTACAGTGTGAAGAAGGATATGCTCTTGGAAGAAGATAAATAAACTGGGCTAAATGAGTAACCACAGAGTTTTAGTGCAGAAACACTCTCATGTTGACTCATCTAAAGAAGACAGAACCATCTGTGTCTTCATTCCAGCAAGGCTGTGCATCACCATGTGTTGCACCTGGACGTCTTTTTTGTAGAAGTAGCTTTCATTTTGATATTGAAAACTAACTGTGATCTACGCTTGTGTGGCTGTATTATTTTTCTTCCTTTCTTCCTGTTCTTCACTTCCAACATTCACTGTTTTCCCAGCCTTCCCTAGACTCTCAACTTGTGCCTTTTTTCCTTTGATGCTTACATGCTGCTTAGGAAATCTAAGCCTGTGCCATTGATGGGAACAAGCCATACCTGATGACTCAGTTTACTAAACTGCAGACCTGCAGTTTGCAGTTTACCAACTGCAGTGTTGGTGCTTGCCTAATTTCAGAATAGGTTTCTGAACTGTACCTTGTGTATGGAAGAAAACTTATCTTAGTGTAGAGTTTTATTGTTTGCATTCAAACACTCAACATCCTCCTGGCTTTTCTGAAAAAAAGTGAGTTGAAGGGATTTTTTAACCAGCAGAAATTACTTTTCTCAGCAGCGACAAATTCTTTTCTGTTTTCCCTGAAGGGAATGTTGCTTTCTGTAGGCAACCTCTGTTGACTCAGAGCAACTTTATTCTTCTTTAATTTGTATATCCAAGAATGTATATAATTTAGCCTGGAATTCTAATTTGCCATTCCAACAGTAAACTTAGTGTTGTGTAATAAAAATCAAACTTTGTTTCCTTCTTATTGTTTTATTGCAAAAAATTAAACATAATGTCATGATCTCATTACAATTTATTTATTTTCTTTTGTATATTTGAAAGATAAATTGATAGAAGATGGCTGTAATCTGTTAGTTCCTTGCCCATTTTCCCCAAGGCTAGAATACTACTGCTGGCCAAATTGACAAAATGGGATTTCAGCAATATGGAGCAGGATATGAGCAGAGGCTTAAAAAAGCCAAAGTGTAAAAGAAGATTTAACCCCTTTTCCTCTTTGTGCATTTTTTTTATGTGTGAAGAGTGATTTTTATAGAAGAAAAAGATGTAGTGATGTAGCTTAATTTAACTTTAGGCATTCTAGGTACATTACCACATTTCTCTGCAGTTTTAATGCAGTGAATAGGTTACAATGAAAATAGAGGAAAACAGTACTTAAAAATTGCCAAGAACTGGACAAATACAATATTTCTATTAATAAACTTGTTCTGAACTCAATTTAAAAATACCTCCTAGCAAATGCATTCATATTTGGAATACATGGATGGTAGTGCCAGTGGCTTGAGGAAAAACTGTAACAAGAACAATTTTGGTAAAACGCTGAACACTTAGCACTTTTTGTAATCCAGAAATTGGAAAAATGGGAAGAAATAGATGCAAAATGCAAATACTTGTACTACTGTAGATGTACATCTTACAATCTTATTTTGTCAGGTTGTTAGACTATTCTTAATGGAAAAGAGAAAAGTCCCTGCCCATAAAACCCAAGTTTTTAACATTTTACTGATAATGGTGCTGCACAAAAAAAAAAAAAAGTCTAGTGGATAAAGTATCAAACTGTTATATTGAAATGCAATATTTTTCTAGGTACCAAAGCAAAATTTTCAAGTGTGAGACCAAAAGAAGTAACAAAAATGAATTAATATCTTATTCTTTCTTTCGACTTTGATTTGTAGCGAAGCTTCCTGGGCTGTGCAACTTTTAGAGTAGGAGATCTGGTAAAGTCAAAGGATCAACAGTTGACCCTTACCCTCAGGTAAGTGTTTCTCTCTGTTGTAAATGATGGTGAGTTATAATCCTTGTCATTTCTCATCCAAAGAATGGCAAGAAAGATAGGGGAAGAGTCTGCTGCACTAGTCAGATGTAGAATGGCTGAGGGAGTTGGCAGTGTTTATCCTGGAGAAAAGTAGGCTCAGTGGAGACCCTATCACCCTCTACAATTACCTGAAAGGAGGTGTTGTGATGTGGGGGTCAGTCTCTTCTCCCTAAATGTAGCAAATCAGAGGACAAGAGAAAATGACCCCAAGTTGCACCAGGTGATATTTAGATTGGATATCAGGAAAAAAATTCCTCACATGAGGGGTTATCAAGCACTGGAACAGGCTGCCCAGGGAAGTAGTGGGGTCATCATCCCTGGAGCTATTTATTAGACATGTAGATGTGGCCCTGAGGAACATGGTTTAATGGTGGACTTGGCAGTGCTGGGTTTATGGTTGGACTCAGTGTTCTTAAATGTCTTTTTCAGCCTGTGCATTTTTATGATTGCTGCTTGACTGTGTTTTAAACTCCATATTCCATCGGGTATATTAGATGACAACTTGAAGTGTTTCTAGTTCTGCCATGTACAAATTCAAAATTAAACACCAAAATTAAATATCAACCCTATAACCTGGAGCTTCCCAGGTGCCAGATTAGAAAAGGTAATTTTATACTATGATAACCTATGGAAGAATTGCAGGGAGTTTGGCATAGGAATATTCATTCAAAGTTTCCTTTAGAAAGGAGCGTAAGAGCCTCAGTTTTGTTTGGTGTGTGTGATTTAAAGAATTAGCAGTGTACAGTTTGGTTTGTTTACTAAGCATGCTTAAAAAAGGTGGTCCTAATTATTGAAGGTGTCTCCCATATGAAAATGCTTGTGGTCTCCTAAACTCGTTGTTATATGCAGCCATACTGAAATTGTAGGGGGGTGTGGCATATGACTCTAATCAGTGACAGGGTACAGAGCTGCAGAAGGGTCAGAGACAATGTTCAAAACCTAGGGCTGGGCTGAGCAGATACATCTTAAAGCTGTGCACTGAAGGAAAAAAAAATCATTTTTCACCCCTGATGCTGTCTTCCATGGCTTAAGAGAAATGAAGATACTAATCAAAACCTTTGAAGGTTAGGGGCAGCCTTTTAGATGGCGATTTTCAGAATAAATTCATTGGACTTTATATAGTGCATGGATTTTGTTGAGCTGAGTTTTGCAAGAACAGTGGAGGCTTATTTGGGATTACTGGCAAGGTACAGCTAAACTTCACAGAGCTGCTGCTCAAACTCCATGTGTCTGCAAAGGCAATGTTTTGGGAGGAAAGAAGCTGTGACTGGGAGACCTGAGTCACCAGCATCTGTTGTGCCTGGGATGCTGTACATAGGTGCTGTGGGAATGTTGTGTTACATTTGTTACCCTGAGCACAGAAAGGCAGCCTTAATTTGGCTTAAGGAGCAAAGTGTGACCTGTTCAGAGATTTTTTGAGGAATGGAAGCTTCTTTTGAAGTATTTTGGCACCTGCTTTTCATTTCAACAGGAGTAGTTGTATATGAGCGTGTAGTTTGAAGGGCAAAGTTAATAAAGTACTTTTATTTTAATTTCTCTCAAACAGAAAATGCCACTCCTGACAGAAAGGTAACTTTGTCTAACAAAAAAATCTCATTTGATAAAATGTGAGCTGACTGTTCCCTATAGGAATCAATGGCTAGGTAAATGAATTCCAGATTAGTGATTTGTAAGAATCTGTTCTTACAGGAATTCAAGTTGTCCGTAGCTCTTTGGGATAAATTTTGCTTCCCTAACTGACATATTGAAAATTTTATCTGAAAGATTGCCTCCAACAGGTGGCACAGTAATTGTCAGAATGGAAAGCTTCAGTTTCATGGTAGGTATTTTGTATCTCAGCCATCCAATTTGTAATCAAAAAATTAAGATAGAAAACTCATAAGAAATAGATGAAAAATTTGCTTTTAATTAATATTTTTAGTCTTGGTTATCCTCTTTGTTCAGCTAATACTAAAAGACAAATATACCAATTAATTTAATTTGCAGACACACTAAATGGTAGGGCTTAGACAGTTGGATTTTTTTTTTAAGAAAAATATCCTAATCTTTCAGAAGTGGGATTGTTTTCTGTTATGACTATTCATCAGCAGAAGGTCAGTAGAAATTATCCACATTTCTTTGATGGCAATTTAACCAGAGCAATCTACTAATTTAAGCTTGAAGTATTAGTACCTCTCAGGAGGATAGAGAATATATCAAGGGGCATGTCAGAGCATGAAATTCTATTTAATTCTTGTTGATATTCTTTGGATAGGAATTTATCAGGACATGCCTGTGATTGAGATATTCCTTTGATAGATTTAAGGACCCAGAAATAGCTCTGTGGTGTACCTTGTAAAGATTGGTGTAATTATAGAATTTGGTTAATTTTTAATTGAGTTTTCTTTTTGTTTTCCTTTTTTTTTTTTTANTTTTTTTTTTTTTTAGTTATTATGTCTTTCCATTGTCTTTCTGAGGTACAGTGTAACAATTTATAAAAGTGTTTTCAAAGGAACATTCTTGTATTTTTCTGTTATTTTTTGGAGAGCTGGCATGTGTATACAAATTCTTACTGTTGGCACACCGTGCTCTACTCTTCCATTTTCCTAGCATCGTACCCTAATAGTGATTAGGGTACATTTTAATGTGCCAACATTTTATGGCCAGAAGTAATAAGGTGGGCACAAATTCCTGCTGCTCATGGTCTTACTGGCTATCTCCTTCCCTCACATTTGAGGGAACTAGTACTGACCTGGAGATCCTTAAGGACTTGGGATGGTGGGGAAATCTATTTCAATGCAGGTGCTCTGCTGACAGGTATCAGATGATTGCTGATCCTTGTCCCAGGGTATTAAAAAATATCAGAAATTTTCGAGCTCCATAAGTCAGGTGGATTTTGTTCCATGTTTGGGCTTTTTATGTTGATACTGGTTTTGTTCTCTTTGCAGTATCCCCCATCTCAACTCACCCTATGCAGGTTGTCAAGGTGCAGTCTTCTGTTCTCTGGGGATATAGTGTCTCCTCTCTTATAACTAAGAGCATTTTGATGCAGGGATCATCTTCACTGCACCATGTGAGTGCAGAGTGTCCTTCTCAGCTTTATTATACTACAGCAACTAAGCTGATTCATCCTAATGCATTGTGAAGTATCTTGAAACCAAGTAATTCTTCCTCTGATGCTATGTTGAGCAGTGTGTATATGTGAGGCCCTTCACATCTCTGCAGGCAAAGGACATGAAGTGTGTACATACATGTGTGTGTGTGCTCAACACTGTTAGTGCAAAGTGAAATTATACAGGTTTTTATCCTACTAAAATATGATCACTAAGCTTTTTTTTTTTTCCTCACTGCATCATTTCTGTTTCTCTTTTTAAATTTTCTTTCAAGTGAAATTTTAATCTAATACTACTGGAAAGTTTGAAATGCATGTCTTCAAGTAGTTGAAGATTGTCACGCACTGCTGGTGATTTTAAAATCACAGTCTGACACTGCTCAGATCAGTGCTCACAGCCCAGTGCATTTATAGAGCTCTTTGTTGATTTGTATGCCCATAGCATTCAAAAAAAAAAATTGTTTTTGGGATTTGTTCTAATGGGTCCCTTCCGACTCAGAGTATTCCATTATTCTGTGTTTAATGATTTTATGACATTGAACTTTTTCTATGTATTCTTTTTTCCTGATTCATCACTCTTCATTTCCACTGCTCAGAAAATACACAGTATTGCTCCACACATAGTTGTTTTGATTCTTCTTCCTCGCTGTGCTTTTGTAATTGTGCTGAACTTATTCTCATCATTTCCTTTTTGCCTATTTTTGCTTGGTGCCTTTTGTTACCCTTTCCTCATTATTATGAAATGATCTATTACTCTTCTTTCCTTCCTTTCAAAAAAATCCAGCTGTTCAGAATAAGCCAGGGGAGATAGACTGTGCCATTAACCTTGGTGCTGTGCTGCCAGTGAAAGCTGAAAAAGCATTTGGTATCTTTCAAGAGTTTAAACCCTTGTTTCTTCCAAAAGGTAGTAAATTATACTCTTTTCTTGGAGATGTAATCTAAATTGTTATTTGTTTTTGATTAATTGAAAGTAAACTATTTGTAGAGATGATAATAAAGGAATTCGCCTGTAACTGTACTACTGTTCCCATATAGTTCAAGAAATGGGATGGATTCTGAATGATTTCTCTGTGGAGGGATTACAAAGGGAAACATGATATTCAAACTAGTTTTGTTGTTTTGGTTTTGCAGGGGTTTTATTAGTACACTATATCCTTTCTTTGCAGATTGTTAGGAAGCAAACCCAATACTCTGCAGTGGGATTGCAGATCCTAAGTGGAGCATTGGTGCAGTGTTGCAGCCCTTTATCCAATGGTCCACAGACAGGATGAGGTCTAGAATGAAAACTTGGCAGTGTTTATGTATCCATGCACCACTTATAGCACTTACCCATCCTCACTTTTGTGATGAAAACTTAAAACTTTCATTGTCCTGAAGAAGTTGCCTCATTGTTAACATTTGGTTTGTGATGGTAAATAACCAATTCAGTACAGGTGACAGCAGCTTTACAGAATAGAGAGGGCACTGAATATTTACTGATAATATTTTAATTGAAAGAATTTGATGCTGCAAGTGACCCAGTGTCATGGGATGATTTTTTTTCCAGAACATCTGATGGTGGAAGGACAGTTGGTACCATTGAAGTCAATCTTGTGAAGATGGGAGAGCTAGAGGAGGGGGAAACAGACCACATCACAGCAGATGCCCAAGATCAAAAGGTAGAAACTCAGTTTATTGCACAAAGTTAATTAGAATGATCAGTTGTACCAGATGTCTCAAATACTAATTACCAAATTGGGTTAAGGACTTAAAACAAAATTTCTGGAGTAAGTACTACGTACACTTACCTCCCTCAAATGAAAAAAAGAAAAACCTTATGAAAATGTACAGAGTAATATTCTAACCTGAGTTTCCTAGGCCCTTTCCTTCTTTAGGAAAAAAATAGCTTACTTTTATCTCAACTGAATGTATTTGATCACTTCTGATCAAAAACTGTCCAGAGAGATGCTGTAAGTACAGCTTCTTTTTTCCTTGGATAGCTGCTCTAGTTTCTGCCCTTGAAATCCTGTTGCTGTTGATTTTTATGAGTAATCTGTGCCCACAATACTGAAAAGCTGGGAAGAATGACAGGTAAATGAAAGAAGAGGTGAATTCCCTTGCAGAGGGGCAGGTTCATCTGCATTTCATGGGAGCACACAATTTTTGCAGCCCTAATACAATGGTTTACTGCTTAACATACTATGGTATATTATTTTCTTCATGAATAAAAAGAAAGGAAATATTGCTACAGGGAATACAGTATTTTTTTTTGTTTTGTTTTGTTTGGAAGTTGCATATAAAACTGTTTTTTTGATTAAAGGACATTATTTTCAATGTATTTTCTGCGTAGCCAAACCAGTCTGCTTTTGTGTCAAATTCTGAGTGTATATTTCACACTTTTTTTCCACCACTTATCTCAGAGGACTTCAATGCCTTTTTAAAACAGTAGATGAGTGCAGCCAGTCCCAAAAAGCCAACAAATGATGTGAAATCTTTCTGATTTTGACCTGTAAAACTTGCACAATATAGGCAACATGAGCTGTTTTTTTCAGCCTTGTCTTTTATTTTGATTTTCTTCCACTGCAAAATGTGGAATGAGACTACTTGCAATTATTTGAGATGTAATAATGAGCTCTGTCTGGCCTGGGGGAGACAGAAGGCTTTAATAGCATCTTTCCAGGGGATTCTAATACTTGTAAGGACAGACCAGACTCATGACCAATGTATTTTCTGTTGTCTTTGGAGTCCTTGGTTTGTACAAATTAGTTGCAGCACAGTCTTGGTTTGTATGTCGATAATGAGGATGCAATTGTGAGAATGTTGAGTTGTTAAATAAATATAAAATAAATAAGTTTTGAACTGGGTTTGCTCAGTTTTAGATAAACTATGGGCAGGAATAGAAGAGGAAGGTGGTGGTTAAATTCATTTTCAGATATTGCCTGGTAGAGAGTACATTATGTGTTGCTCTCTGTCTTAAGTTCCCTGCTGAACTTGTGGGAACTGGGGAAGCCCTAGGAACAGAGCTCCCTCCCTATGACCTTTAGAGACTCCCATTTGTTTTCTGGATGAGGGTAGGAGGAGCATTAAAAATATATGTGTAGGTGTACACTGTTCTTAATTTTTCCATAAATGTTTTCTACTTTTATGCACTAATCTTATCAAAGCAATATTCCAGTTCACTTGTATAACAAATTACTTCAATCACAAAATCTGAGCTCATTTTAAGGACTTTTTTGTGCTTCCTACTTTTCCCTTGTTTAAAAATTAATGAAGTGTTTTCTTGCACTGTGCATGTGAAAACTGCTTTGCCTAAAGAAACAATCTCTTTGAAAGCACAAAACTTGTCAAAAATTGTTTTAAACTAAAGTGCCTTATTCTTATAATAAAACTTACTTATTAAGCTAGTCTATTAATATCTTTCAACATTACTGCCATTGTACTGGTAGGAAGCATTTATGTTTGGTTATGGAACAGTTGATCATATTTTGTCATTTTCTTGGATTTAGTTTTAATTGTGTTACAATATCTTGGAACAGAAATATAAAGATAAAAATGTAAGTTATAATTAATTATAATTAAGTTTATATTATTATCAGTGACAACTTTCAGCCTTACTTTTTATAAATTGCCTTGGATTTATTTCAGACCCCTCCCTGAATGTCACATTTGGGATTGTATTTCTTTTGCAGTGTGCATTGGTTCGTGAGTGTACAGCCACTGAAGGCATAAGTGGGAAAGACAACCTGCCTTCCTTAAATGCAGGTAAGAATTCCAGTATCTGTAATAGATATTGCAATATCTGCAACACCACATTGGGTCTTCAAGAAATCGCACAGATTTCTAGCAGACCTCATAAATATCTCTTCAAATGCTGCACAGATGTTTAAGTTCAACATTTTAGTGTTTTATACATATTTTACATTATCATTTTACTGAGAAATTTGAATAAATGTGTGCCAATTATGCTTTCTGAAGCAGTGCTGAAATCTCCATCTCCTACATCTTCACTAATTTAATGATTGTCAAGACTGTCAATGACTTCCATGGGCACAGAATTAACATCATAAGTTTGTGTCATGTCATTGCATGGCCTTCTGTTAAATAATTATGCATTATTTGTAAGTGACTACCTGGGACAATCAATCTCTCTCATAGCTGATGAAGTGGCAGTTTCGGTTTGATCTGGAAACTATCTGTCCTAGAATGAAGGGAGCTGTTGGCAAGGCAGTCTCAATTCTAGGTCAACTCGGGGATTGAGTGCATGGTGTTAAACTATATCTATTTTTCTTTCATTATACTGAGAAATATTACATGCTGATATGCTGCGCCATAAAACTTTTATTAGCCCAAGTTTATGAATCTCCATTACTCAGCGGTAACAATGTCACAAATAAGTTATATGGGTCATCTAAAACCACAGTGCAGTCAAGAATTCTGTGTTTGCTGCATACAATTGAGGAGAATGTTATTGAAGTTTTACAACTTTTAAAAATCTTTACTGAAACTTTTTCATCTGATTTCTCTGATAGGGCAGACTTTCTGAATCAGCTTTGCAGTCTGAAGGAAGTGCTAAAAACTGTGAAAAATTAAGTTCTTCCATATATGCGTGAATACTGTATTTTTCTTCTGTGAGTTGTTGAGACTAGATCAGAAACAGAAAAAGTATGTGCTACAGAAATACCATTATTTTCAACAATTAAAAGTGAGAAGGATGTTAAGTGAGAATTTCTGAATGTGCAGGAACTACATCTGGCTCCAGAAATTCCTGAACTGCAAATAGCTGGAGGCAGGGAGGGTATTTTGTGTCTCTAGGTATCTATTTATGGCTTTTCATGGAGACAAGATACAGAGCCAGTTGAAGGATTTGGTCTAACCCAGTGCAGTTCTTTGATTCTGATGTATGTCATCCAGATTAGTGGAACTTGAAGAAATGCCATTTCTGTTCACAGAACAATACTGATTCACGATTGATTTTTTTCTATTTTTTGCCTCTTTGTGTAGGTTTGATTGGGATTTTTTGTTGACTTCTTTTGTATAGAAAAATGCTGTAGGTTGTGAATGTATTTTGTTGGAACTTCCATGGTCGATGTCAGTTTTAGGAGTATTGAAGTCTAGATCAATTTGTTACGCATATTTCCATTTGATTCTATAGTGTGTCTAAACAGCATTTTCACATTTGTTGTTGTCATGTACAAACACAATATAAAACCAAGGTCCACCCAACACTACTAGGGTTTATGAAGTCAAACATACTGTGGAGACCTTTTTTTTTGGCGGGGTGGGGGGGGGGGGGGGGTTGGTTTGTCAGTTTTTTTTTAAAGAACTCAGGGAAAAGAGGTGCATATGCAAGAAACGACAGCATGCGGGATATTGGAGTTTGCATTCACAGGAAGTTTTTTCTGATAAATAATTAGTCTTCAATCTGTTTCCTGTATTTGTGACTTTCTCTTCTCATGCAGCATTGCCTCCACTTTTCTGCTGACACCCAGCTCTGATTCCAGGTTTTGTCAGTCCTACTCTTTTTATTGCGTTCTTGATTTCTTTTCTTATAAAAAAATTAGCTCTCCTTTTATTCTGTCAGCCTCTTTCCCCAACCTATCAGACTTCTTGCCCAGCATGCCTTCTTGACTGGGCTTCATGTGGTTTAAGGCTCTCTGTATTGCCTAGAGACAGACTGGATTTCTCATATGGATACCTGTGCAGAAGTGTCAGGAAACCTGGTAATGTCAACAGTGCTTGCACTGCTTTCCCTGCTGTGTTCATACAGAACTACCCCCAGAGCAGTGTATTTTCCATATACATACATATTTAGTACATGTGTGTGCTGTGGTAAAGCTTTCTGGCACTTTCTGTTTCTTGTTGTTTATCAGGCTTCAGAATGATGATACTGAAAAAAACCCGCCTCTGTGAATCCTTAAGCTTGTAGGTATAGAAGCACCCTGTCATTCTTCTGAAATTTAAATCTTAGGATAGGGAACTCACAGCCCTCCAGTGAGTTTTGAGATGCTTATTGTGTGAGTGGGAATAAATAGTGGATTTCAGAGCCTTATCACTATTCCATCTATACCCCAAGAGATTGAATTTATGTCTCAAAATTCAGTTATTTATAATGCTGTAGAGTTTGCCAGTTCTTTGCATGTAAACAAATTGAATTCTAAAAAAAAAAAAAAAAAAAAAAAAAAAAAAAAAAAAAAAAAAAAAAAAAAAAAAAAAAAAAAAAAAAAAAAAAAAAAAAAAAAGGCAGTTGAAATTAAGCAAAATTAAGAAAGCTGTAATTATTATTCCTGAGGTAATACACATAATATACCTATACTACAATGAAAGATATAAATAGAAAAACTGTTGGTAAATTAATAAAGGGCAGAGATATGCTTTGATCTATGTTCAATAGGGAATGAAAATAAAACCAGAGTATTCAATCTTTTATTAGTTTTTTATTGTACTTTCAGGGGAAGCAGTGTGAAGGATATTGCATTGAATAAAAAGCACAGAGGTCTTCATATTTAAAAATGAGAATGTGCAAAAATATGGATGGGTAAATATATGGTATTGGCTTTTAAGCTTGATGCTCTAGAGAAAAGCTTTTAAAATACAGTTTTGTCGTTTTTAACCACTGCAGTTCATGTGAATTTTGGATTATTTTAATGCCTTTCATGATCACTGTCTAAATACAGGAAGGATTATGTTTATAAAACTCCCACTCATTTTAATCACTACTTTTTATAAAAGCCAGTTCTAGTCCTGCTGTTCTTACTGTATATGCCTTCTAGAATTTGGTTCTAGACAACTTGTTATAGTTAAGAATTAATTATTGTTGCAATTGAAGCGGAAGATACTTCTGAGATTTTTATGGAATCGCATACCTTCAGTAGTTCTGTTTATAAGGAAAACAGCAAGTACTATGCAGCTTTTATTGACAATCTTAAGCTTTAGCAATATTGCATATTGGAATTATTTGGCTTATTTGGGAAAAATTCCCAGGGTTTTTTTCTGACTTTGTAAATGAAATTTTCTTCTTAAACCCATGGAGATATGATTTGACCATTTTAAAAAACTTACAACACACTTGAGATTATACCCATCTGAAAATTCAGACCTGAATCAAAGACCTGAGAGTTTAACTAGTACCTGGAGAGGAGTTGAATAATTCTAACAATGATAAAAGTCATAACTTTGATTCCATATTTTCAGTGTTCTTGTCCCTTGCTGCAGTCCTGATGGGTTTTCTGGGGCTTGTTTTTTTTTTTCTTTGTGATGGTGGTGAAGGGGGTAGATGGGAGGAAAGAGATTTTTCAGCTACATATTTGCATTAGGTTCTCACAGATTAATGTGTATTTTTCAGTGTAATAGATTCTGAGTGTGAATTTAAGGGCTGCTCTTGGAAAAAATTCCTTGATAAACTCTTTAGGAAGTAGGTTAAAATGGTAAATTAAAGAGTCTTTTGTATCTGGGACGTCATCTTTTAAAATGTCCAGGTAATATAGTGATCAGGGGGCACAAGAGAAAGAAACAATACCAACCCAAAATTGTCATCTGGTTTGGCAGTTTTCTGTTTAAGGCCAGACCTGAATTAGCCCTTAGTTTCCTGAGCTCTCCCTGACATTTGATCATTTGCATTCACTGTCTTGTTAATGGGAGATGATTGGTGCCATACATCAGCTTTGTGAGTTGTCAGCAACTGTTAATATTATTGATGAGACTGACTTCATTGATTACAAGAATCTTAGCAGAAGAGAAGGTTAATAGAAAATATGCATTTCCACATATTATAACCAAGTGATGTAATAAAGCCTGAACACTTGGTGAAAGTTGATGATAGGCACAGGACTTGGAGGTTTTTTTTCTGTAATTCAATCTGCATGGTGAGAATCCTTAATCTCTAAAAGTGTGTTGAAAAATGTTTGAACATTGAGATATTTTGGGTATTAGTAGTAAAAAACATTGCTTTTTAATATGTCAGAGGAATTAGGCATTTCTTTGGCTTATTTCACAACACTGAGTGAAAATTTAGTTTTTGAAAGTAAAATCACTAAGAACTAAAGGCAAAATGACTCTAAAAAGGCTTATAAAATGACTATACAAAGGCAAGAAATGCTTATAATGTATTGTAATTATTTCTTAATTACTTAATTACCAATTTCTTAATTGGCTTCTGATTGTAATGGCGTGAATTATAACATCTGTATTGTCTTACCCTTCACAAGAGACTAAAAATAGAATAAAAGTTTTTAAAACACCTCTCAGTTGCTCCATGTCTGGGTCAGGAAAGGGCATAATCCAACAACAGTTTTTCATCAAAGACTAGCAATGAAAGACATCTCAGTAGAGTGATGGAAATACAGAGCAGTACAACCACTTAAGCATTGCTCCTTTCTTTGAGTTGCCAGCAGTGGGTTTATTATCAGTATATTTAAATCTCTGGTCTTCTTTTAGGCCTTTCCTAATGGTTTTTTTGTTAAAAAACCTGATTGCTTAGATAGACAAGACAGTTTGTGTACTTTTTATTTTTCATTCTCTATAAATCAGACTACATAAACATTAATGGTGTCAGGGGGTTGTGAATTGGAATGTCTATTAGTAGCTGTCATTTTGACAGCAGCAGTTTCCCTGCAGCACACATGGGGAATGTATTCCTCTGAGTTATAGACCACTCAGTGGCTGATCAATGCGAGCCTGCTGGAAGGCAGCTTTTTCCAGAAGGCTTGACAGAAAGGTAGCAGTGGAGGCTTTGGATGGCTGTCCAAAGTCATTCCAAGTTAGGATGTTGTGGACATGTGTGCTAAATGACAATCATTTGTCTCCAAGTAAGCTTATCACCGTAGTGAAACAGAACTTTTTCTTTCTCAGCTTTTTCCCCTTTTGTTCTTTCTTAAAAATAAGAGCAGGGTAAAAAAAGAAAAGAAAAAATGGAGAGAGTAGATTATATGGCATCATTTTAAGATCTGAATGGAAATGCAGCCAACACATGAAAACTGTAAAATAAAAAATGTGATGGGTTTTAAACATAGTCTTCCAAAATACCAAGAAATGTGATTTTCTTATGTCATGTTGCAATAGTGATCTGAAAACAGTGTGTGTAACATATTGAAGGGGCTATTATATTTATTTTTATTTAGAGGCAGTGTCTTGACCACATCAATGATCAAGGTAGCTATAGTATGGTCAAGGGTCAAGTTTCCTTTGATGTAGAAGCACACCTTCTATTTGTGTTAATGAATTGTGTCTGCATGTCAAGGGGAAGATGCAGCTGAACTCTGAGTCCTGTGCAATTTATTGGAATTGTGAGTGGTTCTAGCAGGTGGCAAGCAACGGTGGTGACTGTATTGAGTTCATTTTTCATTTGTGCTTTCTGTTTTTTCTAACTTCAGCTTAAATGTAAGAAAAGAGAGTCTAATTTACATTCTCACAACTTTGAAGACCTAAATTCAAAGGTTACCTACTCTGCTGGTAAATTGTTACTTATTGATGTGCTAGTAATACTTTGTGCTCCACATGCTGATATAAAAACTAAATAAAAATGAAATGTTTTTAGCAGAATTTTAATGGTTCTAAAATTAATTTTGTAAGCAAGGGGGAAAATAATATAATAATTTTGCAGGTTATTGTCATAAATTTTCAGAGTCATATTACCACAGTAAAGCAATGATATTATTTTTCCTCTTTTCAGTGTTGAGAAACCCAGTTTGTAAGTTATATAGATTCCCTACTTCTGACAACAAGTGGATGCGGATCCAGGAACAGATGGCTGAGACTACCCTCTCTTTCCATGTTCCTAAAGAACTAATAAATCTGCACATAAAGGAGGATATGAGAAGGTAAGAAAGAAGCAGCGCAATAGTAAGTACTAAATTATATTTTTCTGACTTGGAATCATGCAAATGATGAAGCTAAAAAATATTAATTTGAAGTATGAAATGGGTACTTTCTGGCTGCTAAGAATTTACAGTTGTATCTGAACAACAGAATTTACTGCTCAAAATTTTTGACCTCATAAGTTCTGAGCAACAAATTATGCTAAAGTGCGACTTTAAATCTGCGACCACCTTTAAATCTTTAAATCTGTGATCTTTAAATCTGTGAATCACCATTTGATTAGCAATATAAATATTCAGGAACATTAGCATTTTTATAAAGAATCAGCAAATGACAGGGATGTGAACAGCATTGTATTGTGTTTGGCTGTGTGTCTGGGTAGAGTTAATAACACAAACATTATGCAATGGAAAATGACAAGTTTATAGTGAATAAAGGAGCAATGAGGATAAAAATGACATTCCTCTAGCTAATCTAAATTAATTGGCATAAGTAAAGGATACCAAATTATTGTTTATTCGAAACTTTCATGGTTGGCCTTGTAACCAGGAGAGAGATATCTGAGAATCATTACAATCTGTATGGCCTGGAGAAAAAGGAGACTAGGGAACACAGGTGTCCCAAAAGCCTTTGAATGTCCAATTTCCCATTGCAGTGATTAAAATGGCAGCCTGTCCTTGAATCCTTGTAATCTGTGCTGATAAAATTTGGGGGAAAACCTTTCTTTTAAGTAATCCAGGGCTACCCTGAAGACAATGCCTTCTTCTTCCAGTGGTAATGGATGATGCAGAAGATATTGCCTCCTTCTTCATGAAAGTTACTTCACACATAGATGGGCATCTGGTCTCATGTGCTGTGACGTAGTGTTGCATCCCAGAGCCATCCTGTGCACTTTCAGGCAGTTCGTCCTGTTGTGGTTTACAGAGGTTGTTTGTTCTGCAATATAGAGCCTCTTTTCTTTTTTTATTCACCCCATCTGTTCCTTCTGTGTGATGTTTTTATGCCAATGGAACAGCATGTGGGAGACTGGAATCTTGATTTTAATAAAGTCTGTGGACTGACACATATTTATGCATGGTGATGATGGGTTATAAAAGTCCCATGAATTTTTATAATAGTTTATTTTATTCATTTAGTACTGTGTTTAGGCATTTATGGCCTCATCTTGTTTGAGAATACTTATGTGCAAGGTTTTTCTAGTAAGCAATAAAAATAGATTATGCTGAGTCTCACAGTTCATACACTTCCCATATTTTCATTTGCCCCATGGTTAAATGCCTTTTAAATGTTAGAGGGTACTTTAACCACTTTTACTACTACTTTATTCTCTCCAAAGGCATAATGCAAGTAATAGCCCTTGTTGTTATTTCATATTATAGAATTCACCTCCCTGGATAAACTTTTAGTAAAAATTCACCATGGTGGGTTTTTTTCCTCATCAAAATAAAGATTTGAGAAAGAAACAGAAGTAAAGTTGCACAAAGATTGAGATAAGTGCCTCTGATTTTCCTGATTGCCAATGTTGTTGAGCTGTTCAAGCCTAGTTGTAATTGTGGGTGTGAGAGACAAAGTGATTGATACAGTCTGAAGGAGGAGATAAAACCAACCAAAAGGGGCAACGACATGTAGAATTCTAGCAGATGGTGGGTATAGGGGCATTTGTGTCATCTATCATCATATAAGAGTGTGAGTTGGAGCTTCAACTTTGTCTGGGCTTTCCTTTTCAAAATAATTGTGAAGATGTGTGTTCTTGTGAAGTCCTTACACTTGTAATCTAGTAAAATGTGTGAGGAGGATGCTACTGTATTAGGTGATGAGCTCATACAAAACATACACTGCACCATCTTCAGGCTTTTCTCTTCTGAAGTATTCTTCTCTGTGTCTTTTTCCCCTAGTTAGTATAAAAGGATAAATATTTTTGTCTCAGAAGGCACTTATCATACTCAGCCTGTTTAATTTTATTTTTATTGTGGATTCAGTATAGTCAGGTCTGAAGCAATTATGCAAGTGTTAATCCTATTCAGTATTCATTATAAATTGTAGTTTAAAGTCCCTTTTCTCACAGCTCTTAAGATTGTAAAACTCCAGTGTTCATTGTTAACCAAACCCTTTCATTTACTAACATTATGCTTTGAAATATGTAACCTCTAATAGTATTTAACTTCGGATTTCAGCATGAACTAATGTTTTTAAACAAATGCATGAATTGAAGATTTTATCCTTCAAGCCTCCGTAGAAATTTTAGTAGGAGCTATATGGTAATTTTTATTGTTCTAGTAAAGGTCATACAGTCTGTTTTGCTGGCTTTTATTACAAAATTATTTCTGTTTCCTCTTTGAGGTATTCCAGTGAGTGCTTTCTGCTGTTTTTAATATTTATTTACACAAATCTGGTCCAGATATTTTATATGTGTCATGCAAGATGATCCAAGTGGTTCTCTGAACCTAATGATTATAAAAAAGTCTTAGCTTACAATAATTTTTCAGAAAGTTGGTTGACCTATATAATTGAATCTTGCAGTTGTGGATGCAACTGGTTTAACTGGGTCAGCACAGCAAGAGATTTGGCTGAAAGGAAATTCCACCTATACTTGAATTTAAACCCTCTCTCCAGAGTACAAAGCACAAATGCAAGCTTTCTCCAGCATTGGAAATGACTGTCCTGTCCCATCAACACTAGGCCTTTTTTTTTCTTTTTTTGGTGCAAATCTATGCAGTCTGTATTTTATTTCTTTAATGAAACATTTTGAAATGATGACAATGTTCAGACTGAAAAATACTTTTTTTTTTAACTTCCTCTTACTACACAACTTCTATTGAGAAATTGAACCCCAGGCATTGGTGCCATATGCTGGGAGTAGGCTTTGATTTTTTTGGAAGTTTGGTTGTTGGTGTTTACTTGACTTGTTTTTGAGCAGTGGCATTGCAAAAGTGTATTGATAACAGGTGATAACATTTAATGAGAGGGATTTTGGGTAAACTTACCATGACTTTTGAAGATACTTGAACCAACCACTTTCAGAGAGGCACTGTCACTATGCTTATCCAGTCAAGGGTTTTCACAAGATTGTTCCTTGTAAGTATCTTGTTTTCAACAATTAAAAAGTTCTCAAACCTGCCAGTAAAATGTAGCTCAAGTGTAGTATTTACCTCATTGTGCACCAAAAAGTATATGAAACTTTTCTCTTCTTACTCTCCATCATTTACCGCATAAAGGAATATACGTATATGAACGTAAGAGTAGCTTTACTTTTATAAACAGTGTTTAGACAATTGTCCTCATGAGTCAAGATCAGTTTTAAACCCCATTAATTTATAAACTAAAGGATAAATTATTGTAATGAATGAACACTGCATAATTTTTTCTCCTCTTGATTTCACTATTCACAACCAATTTTGGAAGATATGGCCTCTGTCAAGGTCTTAAGAGGGGCTATCATAGGTGACTTAAGTAAAATTTTCTGGATTTTGCTTCAATTTTGGGTTTTTAAAGTTGTACTGCACTGGAATGGAGTGACATCACTTGATTTTTTTGGTGATGGTTACCTCTACATAACGCTTCCTTGAATTAAGCAGTGCTGTGTGGCAGCAGCTCTCTGGCCCCAGAGAGCAACACATAACTTTTCCAGGCACTGTCCTGGGAAAGGCTGTGAGATGATCAGAGAAAAGAATTACAAACAATTTTTATTTTCACTTGCTGCACATGTTGTTGTGAACATGTGGAATGTGTTATGGAGATTTGTTTACCAAAACAAATGGTGGTTTCTTAATTAGCCAGTAGTGATAGTGTTTGGACTGGACGACCAGTCAGATTCACCTGTATCATAGCTGTCTATAAAAGCAATGGGTTTCTTAGTAAGTGTAGTATAATAAAGGGATTGATCAGCCTTCTGTGAATCATGGAGTCAATGCTAATTATTGCCCAGCTGGGGGCCTGCAACAACAGTGCTGAGTCTATGAAATGCTAACTTACATTCTATATTGAGACTGCCCTCTCAGAGAAAGCTTTTTTTTGCAAGATCCTCATAGGTTTTAATACTCCAGAGAAATAATTCAGTACCAGTTAGCAAAGGCTGCTAAGATTCCCAGATGTTGTATTTGTGCACAGCATGCCCTAAGGAAGTCTATATTGAGCAAATTAGAACCTCCCACAGCATGGTGAAAGAATGCAAAATTGAAGTGAAAATTTTGTCACTTCCTGTCACTTAAGGCATTAGGATGGCTAAAAAAGCTTTCCACAGTTTTATGATGTTGCTTGTGTCATAGAGATCCTCACTCTGTATTTGGAATTATGCATTCTGATTAATAAATTGGGGAAAAAAGAAAAGAGAAGCCCAGAAAATGTTTGAATGGCTGAGTAATTGTTCACTTGGCTGAGCCAGTTACCTCCTGGTTAACCAGCCAATACCATCTTGACTCCTCAATGGCGTGGGCCTGCTCTTACTGGTAGAATTACATAAAATAAGGTAATTATATAATTAATCATGTATTTCAGTTGAAATTTTTTATCCTGTGAGGCCTACTGGCCAGCTGTAGGCCTCCACAGTTACCCCTTTTTGTTTATAAGTACAAAAGCAGTGTCTGTCATCCTCTGCAGGCGCCGTGCAGACAAGATGACAGACATGGCATTGTGCAAAAACCTCGACCTAGGCCTTGAAAGGCTCAAATGTGGCTTTTAACTCAATTAAAGGTGTTCCGTAGCAGCTTGGGGTCCCACAGCGTCTGGGCACTGCCTGGCAACAGGTGTGGGTGGTTCCACAGCAGCCAGGAATGGTTCTTTGCCAACAGGGCCAAGGTGTCATCCTGCTAGGGCTGGGCATGGTCCCACCATGACTAGGGATGCCTGTAGGAGTGTTTTCTGGCACGGCAAAGCACTGAAGGTGGCTCTGCTGCAGGCAGAGAGAACTACAAGGTTTCAACCCCTGCAACATGGCACAGAGGGGCTGCAGGGTGCCCATTCAACACAGCATTGCTGCTTGGGGTATCTCCACCACCAGCCCCAG